GTTAGTTTTATTGTCTATATATATATATATATATAGGATGTTATTAGTTCTCATTATTTTTTTCATTAAGTTATACATTTATAAGTCAATTTTAAGTTACTAATGATTTAAAGAAAATTTTTTAAAGAAAAGAAATTGCTAGAAAATTTGAAAATAGTTATAATATATAGTTATTAATATCATCTCAAATAATTTAATAGTTGCATTTTCTATTTTATAAATGATAATTAAAATCCGTTAAATCCGATTCTATCTAGTTAACAAGAAGTGAAGTTGAACACGTTATGAAATGAATATATTTTCTTCCTCGATGAATCTCAATGGCATTATTATTGATATAAGTTCGCAAACTTCTCGTGATTAGCAGCGACAAGATAAATGTTACATTTACTATAAAACCTTAACATGAGATATAAAACTGAATAATTATAATATATAGGGTATCTTAAATTTTAATCTGTTAATTAAAAAATATCATAAAATTAAAATCTTTAAATTTTAGAATAATTTCTGTCTTTAATTAAATATAATTTTTGTCTTTAAAAAAATCTATTTAATTTCAAAATTCTTAAAAATTCTTAATAAATATTATTTATTTATTATTAATTATTTATGCTATTAATTATTAACAACAATATTGTTTATCTATTTTTCTTATATTGTATATTTTTACATTGTACTTGATGTTATTAATTTATTATCAATATTATTTGTTCTTATTTATACAAAATAAATTGAAAATAAGACTAATTTAATTATAAATTGTGCTATATTATATAATGAAATTTTATTATCAATAATCTCATTTCATATAAAATGATTCTATTATGAATAAAAAAGCAAACATATGAAAAATATTAAATTTTTAGTTTAAATTATTTAAGGCAAATTACTAATTACGATAATATTATCGTAAATTTCAAATATTTGGAGAATTTTTTGATTATACAAAATTAATGATTTTATAGCGAACTTATATTATCATCTTACTATTATCATCTATTCCATACATTATTTTTTGAATATTTTTTTAAAGATATATTTACTCTAAATCATTAATTTATTAAATGAAATTTTGACTTTATATTCATAAATATTCATAGATAAAATATTATTTTCCTGTTTCCTGAATTAAAAAGAAGTTGTCTTAAAATTAAAACGAATAAGATGATCAATGCATGAAACAGAAACAAAGAGAGAAGAAGTACAGGGATCGATGATTCTTTCTTCTTATCAGAGAGGCGTGACTGCACGAGGTCACTGATAAATGATAATAATGGGAATTTTTATCGAGTCGTCCAGTATATGTGAAACTACAACTTTCATAAATTACTTTCTAAAACAGTTTTCTACCTTTTTTTTTATTAATCTGTTTTATTGAGTTATTGATATTTTTGAATTCTAATTAATAAAAATAATAAAAATATTTTAAAAAAGAATATATAAATGAATATAATAAATATATTATTTAAAAAAAAGATAAAAATGATAAGAGAAAAAATATATTAAAAAGTTAATTTTTAAAAAAATTATTGATTATTTACCATTTATTTTCATATAAATTTATTTTAACTAATTTTTTAAATCTTTTGATTGCATTATTCAAAATTTATTAAAGTTTCTGAATAAAATAGAATTTTATATAAATCAAAATTGAACAAATAAATATGTTTCATTTAAAGATAATTAAGATTGTAATCTTAATTTACACAAAATATTTTAAGCAAGTAATATTCATTTTATTAATTTATTAATAAAATTATAGTAATATTCATTTATTAATTTCATTAATAATTTTTATTTATTATTTTTTAAATATCATTTATGTGATATATTTCTTTTCTTCTTTTGAAAGCGTCAGTATTGTTTTGAAATATAATATAAGTTGGCATAATCAAACAACAGATTTATGAAAGATCTCTTGATGAACAGTTTTATATATATATATATATATGTATTCATCATATTTGAAAGCGTATAAATTTGTATTAATAAACTTACAATATTTATAGCCATTTAAAAGCTTCAATAATTTATTAAAATAATTTGAAATAATTAATAAGATTTACAGAATGATATTGAATGTATTTAAATCAGATTTTTTATCTCATTGATTAATTATTTATTGAATACTGTTTGCCATTAGAAATTTATTTCAAATTTTCAAAATAAAATGAACAATTGCTAAGAAATTACAGTACAAGACGAATTAAAAGACAAACAATCTCACAAAATATGGTTTGGACTGAACTTTCTTTTATGTTAATATATCTCAAAGCAGGTCCTGAGAGGAATCAGGATGTTCTACATACATATTATACAGACAACATCAGTTGTACGATCTCGCATGAATGTTACGCTCTATTAGCAAACGGATTCGTGTTTCAAATACGATCAAATTTTTTCTTTTTATTGAGATCAGAGGAAGCTACCAAAGATTCATTATCAATAAGAATAAGATTATTTGATAAATTTTTATAAAAATACTATAGTTTAAATATTTTCTCTTGGAATTAGTAAATAAATTAATAAAATAAAAATTAATAATTTTTATCGTTTGATTTTTCTACAGGATACATTAAAATAAATAAAGATTAATAATACACACTTTTCTTATATCTGTTTTGCAATTTTCCAAATTTCAAATGAAAATCACAAAAAATATGATCTATTATAAGTATAACAAAATAAATTTCTGTATATCTTTGGAAATTCTTATTTTTAATGATATCGCGATTTTTTAATAGAATCAAAATACGATAAATTTGAAATTATTTTTTCAGATATTTCTATATAATATAAAAATAAATTTAGCACATAATAATCAATGTATACAGGTTTAATTGAATCTTTGATCAATGTACAACAACAAATTTAAATTTGTCATAAAAAATAGTTATAGAAACAAGTAGATAAAGTAGGCCATGATAAAGTTCCGTGCGTTAGAACTGCAACTCGCTTTAATTCCGTTTACTGCTTCACGGCCAAGATACATACAGTCAGTGAACATAGTAACAGATAGACAGGTACTACTCTCACGCAGTGGCGCAGAATTTGATTTTTATTAAAATCGTTAATTCCATATATAAATTCATTTTTTTTTCTATCAATTCTGCTTTTTGCAATTTATTTAATCAATTGTCCAAGTACCAATGTCCAAGTAGAGTACCAATAACGTTGATTCATTAACTGACTTATAATTCACAATTTATATTTAATGAAATAATTTAAAAAATTGTATTATTCTAATTATTGTATTCGATTCAATAATTAGAAAAATTAGAACATCTAGAACAAAAGAAATCATTGAAAAATGCTTGATATATTTATTTATTACTGTTTCAATTGATACGTCACTGAGTATTCACGCGGCGCTAGCGTGTATGTATCTAGTGATAGGATTAATATCTTCATATGCATGCTTCTTAATAAAAATTTTAACTTTTGATATAAATATCATAATATAAATCACATAATATATTTTTCTGAATTTATTATTATTTTGAATACTTACATTTTATATTTTTATGTACATATAATTTCTAATATTAAAATGAATTTAATCAAAAATACGAATGATTGATATCTTATTTAAACTCAATATACTCGATATTTAGATACAATAATAAAATCAATAACATAGAAAAAAATCAATAAAGTTTCATTAATTATATTTCCCAAAGAATGAATCGAATATAATCCTATCGCTAAGCAACGACGAATGCGCGTGGATGCGCATGCGCATGCGCATATAGCTTTTAATGGCCGAGAGAGGACGGGAAAAGAAATGTAGCAGTGGGGAGCAGGTAAGAGGGAACTAGTTGTTAGGCTCGCTCATCCCTCTGCAAAAGAGTTCCTCTTTGCCGGCGCATACCGGACATTCCGTTTCTTCACCTTGAGAAGATTCGTATACTATGGACTCACGTAACATACTATGACATGTTTCTTTAATATTTCATGAAGATATAAGCATATATTCATATATATATATGTGACTATTTCTTATTATTTCGCTTTTGTAGTATATTTTGATAAATTTTATAAATATAATCACTTAGTTATACATTAATAGAAAAAGAACTCGATCAAATCGATATTTTAAAATGGAGATTGAAAATAGAAACTATATCTTCTCTATGTAAGACTGTACATTTCCTAACAGCATATGTGTTTGAAAACGTTTATAAACTTGGTAATTGAGGACAATTTCCACGATACTGAATGAGCTATGGAATATAAAGTAGGATTTCACACCGAAGAACACAATTAATTACTTTCAGATCGTTGTACGCGCAAGGTCGACTTCGAGGCAAGCAAGTATAAAATACCAACACGTTTACCTTCCGATTGACCGTGTTCTTTCAAGTACAAAATGCATGAAGATAATGTATAAGAAGGTCATAAAAATCTGATGTATAATAAAAATTTGATTAGAATTCGATAAATTTGATTGTTTTATTGATAGTAGAAATTTAAAATGTCTATTATGATCAAAAATAAATAAACAATTCTACTATTGATGTATTTAACATCGAAATATTTTGCGGAAGAAAGGGAAAAATGTACACTTTATATAAACACAACATAATATATATGTATATATTCTAATAAAACTTTGTAAAAAATATATTTTCTTCTTGAAACTTACTAATGAAGTCAGTTGACGTCATTTGAATATTTTGTTATACGTAGAATGCAGAATAACGTTATTTTGCAGAATTTTCTGTATAAACGTGGTAAAAATTTTTAAAAATATATAGATCAATTTCCTGAAATGTTTTTTAAATTTAAAACTTACTTTTATGATATTAATATGATAAATTAGATTTATCAGTATCAAAATCTAAATATGGCGGTGGATTTAAGTAAAGATACAAGCGTACCTAATATAATTGGGACGAATAATTTAACTACTTGTTGCCTTCGATTGAATAGTCAAAAACTTACCTGAAACAGAAAGAAGAAAGATAGATTAATAAAATGTAATAATTTATAATAGAATATATATAAAAATAATAAAAAATAAAAAAATATTTAAAAATATTAAATAAAAATTATATTGCTAAATAAAAGAATCAAAAATAAAAATTAAAAAAATAAGATGAAAGCATACTATATAAGATACATACATAAGAAAAATATAAATATGTTAGATATATTACATATATGTACATCATATATATTTATCATATTTTTCATTTCTTGTTAGAAACAATTTTTTTATGATATCTTAAGATCTATTATGTCTAATATTTTTTATATATTTTTATATATTTTTAATATATTTAAATACTTATCAATTCCATATGATTAATAAAAATACAAATACAAAATTTTTATAATTTACCTCTAAATTTTAATACAACACAATTACGATATAAGAAGATTTAAAAAAAAAACTATAATAAGATATTTAATTAACTATAAAATTTTATGATTATTTTCATTCGTATTTTTTATAAATCTGGCGATTCTCGAAATGGAAAGTCAATCTGATAAAAGTGTTATGAACCATGGATATATGTAGTGAAAGTTACAAAAGATATAATGGTTTATTTGCAATTGCACAGTAGCAGGAAACACGCGGCAAAAGTTGGTAAACATATTGATCATGGGTTACATTTATTGGTTTTTTGTCTATAAAGAAATCATTCACATACGATGTGTATTCATATTGATTTTTATTGATCTTAATTAACAAATTAAAAAGAAAAAAAATTGTTAATTAATTGAATTCTTTTAAAGAATTCAGCTTTGTATAAATCAACTTTCATTTTTCTATAGTATTATTACGTACAATATAAAATAAAAAATATTTATATAAACATTTATTATGAATAAAACTTATAATATTGAGGGATTCAATAAAAAAATAATATTTTACTATTATAGTAAATTATAAGTGCATTTTTTTTTCAAAAATAAGATACAAGAAACGATATATAAAATCTATAGTTGAATAATTTTGTTAAATTTACTTTATTTAATTATTTCATTTTTTATTGAATGATTTTGAAACTGGAAATGGCCATCTGAATGAAAAAACAGTTGTTATCGGTCGGCGAGATATCAAGTTCACTGACACAATACATACGCGCACATTCATATATGCTAATGACAAATACGAAATTAATTATTCAACTACTAACATTGCTTTCTAGAGACATTAATAATGCTTCGGTTATCTAAAAACTATGCAGATAGAACCGAAACAAATCATGGAAATCATTGTTTGTTTCTAAGATCGATTGTATTTTGTTGTTTATTGGCAGAAAAACTAGCGTGAATTTACTACTTTATTTACGAGTGATCTGAATTACGAGCATGACATTAATTTCTTGAATAAATTATATCAAGAAACGAACACTAATATAATAAATGGGAATTTTATGCATTATTATATCTTTCGGTAATTATGAATATATATTTGAATTCGATTTGAAATTGTTATAAATTTTATATTACACAAATTCACATTTTATTTATATCTTATTATATATTTTATTATATCTTAAATTAAAAGATAAAATATAATATTAAAATAAATCATTAAATAATACTCTAATATTATTTTATGAAAATAAAACATAGAGTTACAGAACTGATGTTATTTTAAATTCTAAATTATTTTGGTTTTTGTTTGAAAAAATATGTCAATGTATTATAATTGAAATAAAAAAAAAAATAAAAAAAAGAAATTTTATTGATCAAAATTTTAAAAATATATAACAGAAAATGATTATCATTATTTATTTTTTTAAAGACATTTCTTTTCTAATGGATAAAAAAAGGATAAATGTATACTCTTATCGTATTCGTATTCGTTTCATGTCTTTCGACATTTTGGATAAATTCCCAAATCAACAGGTTTCGTGGCACAAAATTCGATTGCGACATGCATATCTTGTATTTGTGTTAAAGCTAGTACGCAACAAAACTGCAACTGTTGTTATTTATTGCTTGTTAATTTTGATCATAAAAATAACAAACTCAAAAACAAATATGAATTTTAAATGAAATACAACAATAACAGGGATGGTACGAATTATATAAATTCTATCTATATTTATTTAAATATGAAATTTTAGAAATTTAGTATCATTAAAGTTACGATTTCATATAAAAGATTAAATATTTTATGATGAAAAGTTATTCGAGTAAATGATTTTGTAATTATCTCAAATGAATATAATAATTGACTTTCATTATTTCTATTTCAATTACAATTAAACGCTGAAATCATAAATGTAATATTAATATTGACGAATTTTATTGATCAAAATTTTAAAAATATATAACAGAAAATGATTATCATTATTTATTTTTTTAAAGACATTTCTTTTCTAATGGATAAAAAAAAGGATAAATGTATACTCTTATCGTATTCGTATTCGTTTCATGTCTTTCGACATTTTGGATAAATTCCCAAATCAACAGGTTTCGTGGCACAAAATTCGATTGCGACATGCATATCTTGTATTTGTGTTAAAGCTAGTACGCAACAAAACTGCAACTGTTGTTATTTATTGCTTGTTAATTTTGATCATAAAAATAACAAACTCAAAAACAAATATGAATTTTAAATGAAATACAACAATAACAGGGATGGTACGAATTATATAAATTCTATCTATATTTATTTAAATATGAAATTTTAGAAATTTAGTATCATTAAAGTTACGATTTCATATAAAAGATTAAATATTTTATGATGAAAAGTTATTCGAGTAAATGATTTTGTAATTATCTCAAATGAATATAATAATTGACTTTCATTATTTCTATTTCAATTACAATTAAACGCTGAAATCATAAATGTAATATTAATATTGACGATCGATAATTAAAAATTAATTGTATTGTAAATTTAACATGTTGTTAAAAACTGATAAAATATTACTTGAAATTTATAAAGATTTAAATTGCCTTTAGTAAATATTTCATTAAATAACATTTTATAATTAATTTTTAATGATTTGAATTAAAATTAATCTAAATTAATAATAATAATAATAATAATTAATAATAATTAAGAGACGAAGCTTTCTAGGATATAATGTTAACTTATATTTTTTTTCTTTATAATAAACTAATATAATAACTGTATCGATTTACACTTTATCTTGTATTTGATCTTATACAATGTATTTTAATTCAAAAAAAGCGGCATATATTTCAAATTTATCAACAACTAATTATAATCCACATATCTATTATTCTAAAATATAATTAAAACTGTTGAAGTATAAATTATAATCCACATATCTCTATTATTCTAAAATATAATTAAAACTATTAAAATATGAATTTAAAATTGAAAAATGTTTTGATTCATGCACGTGTCACTAGTTATTACCGGTATTTAGACTTCCAAGTATATTCATGTTAACGTAATAATTCAAGACCCGACGCAGAACTCGGTCCGGTCGGAATAGAATGATTGCTCACATACCTCAAATATGCAACACATATTGCGCGCGCGTTATGCACATGCACGCTGGCGATTAAACAGAAAGTATAGTTGCATCGTTAAGGCGCGTTCTATGGATTTTCACTCGGCACATGGTTATTATATACAATTCTTATTGGATTATGTTTTGAAAGATTCGTTCTACAATTCGTATTTAGAAAATTTATGGCTATTAAAATGGTATAAGAAATGTTATGAAAGAAAATATAATAATATATTATTTGAAATTTGAAATATTTAAAATTTAATAAATTATAAGAAAAATAAATCGCGCTTTGAACCTAACCTATATGTTCGATTCATTTATGAGGATAAACTAATTCTTATAATAAATTCTTATAATAAATAATAAATAAATTCTTATAATTTGATTCTTTATTTAATAACTATTATTTGTTTAATATCTATATTAATTAAAGGTATATTAAAACAATTTATCAATATAAAATATGTGACAAAATTCGGTTTTATTCGATGTCTTTCAAGGTAGATAACCAACTAATAGTAGCTCGACATCAATATTCTCAGACTGACCTACATAAGCTACCAGAACATGAATCTCTCTTTGCATTTGAGTAACGAATTACACTTTGGATATGCAATCATATTATTTTCCTAAAGCTTGTGAATTTTTCGCACTCAAATTTATCTTTAAAGTGGAATCTCTTTGATATTTATAGAACTTTATCTTCCTTTATGTAAGAGTAATCAATGACTTTGCGCGTTTTCGAATATTTTTTATTTTTGTATTTTATAATAATTTCCAATAAAATTAAAATAGTAAGTATTGATAGTAATATAATAAAAAATTATTTTTATGGAGAAAATTTTTTAAATATAATTTTATGTTAATGTAATTAATGTAATTAATATGTTAATATCAAATAATATAACAAAAAATTTTCGTACCTTATATATTTTTAAAACACAAAATATTCAATAACAAAATTAAAATCAATTCGATTCACGAAAATTTATCTTTCCGCGAGAAAAAATCGATCGATAATTCCATCTGGCTAAATCGTTGAAATTCCAAAAGGAAGAACAATTCTTGAGTCGCT